ATATATACATATATAAATATATCTTAGTAACATTGTAAATAGATAATTGTTTATGGTTTTGGCATTGTATTTTGACCTATACCATCTGTACTATTCCTCTTAATACTTCTATCATTAACAAATTACTATTTGCAGCCAGTTTGCCAATTTCCGGCTTAGCAATTTGAGTTAAAGTAATAATTTTTTGCCATTGGAAAGTTAATATTCTACCGCATATTCATGTGATGATATAATGAGGAAATTTATGTATATGTACATAAATATTTATTCAATACTTATGATAATCTTGACGGATTCTTCTGCAAATTTCATCGGTTATCTAAAAAAGTATTGTCTACCGTTAGTTAGCTTTTTCTTTTCTCAACTTTCTAGCAGACTATCAAATCTGTGGCGAACGCTGGCGATAGCTGGCCATCTAACGCAAATCATAACATCACGTGAAGTTGAGGAATAAGAAATACATCACACTTCGGAGCTGTTGTCGTTTCCAGAATGGGTTTCGCAATGTAGGGTCGAGCTACTCGAAACAAATTTGACGCAGCAGAATTTGCTTTTATCAAATTTGCAGACACTTAGTGAATCAAGTCAGTTATTGTTGGTAATGTTGCATAATCATGGATGCAACGGCTTTCAATGCATTACATTCAGCTGATTTCTCTTGAAGTTAACGGTTATTTCAATATGTTCCGGGCTGTTTAGATCTTCCGATATCGGTATAGTATTCACTTTTTATCGTCCGAGATGGAAATAACAATCAATTGATTATCAAATAAACGAAAATAAAACGGTTCTCTCAATCCTAGAGAAGACTTGAACTAGGCTTTAGGCTAACTATTTCTACGGCCGGCAAATATGAAATATATTTTGGAAGTGTTTGTAGGCGGATTCATGTCAATTTCATAAATGAAAATCTGAATGGTCATCATATGTGTTTTAATCGAATTTCAGGCCACTACGATTTTGTCCCTATTATGGGCATGATCTTGGATATATAACATTTGTTCTATGACCATCAACCACCTTATCACTTTACTTAATTATCTCAATTTCTGATTTGGTCAGCCTTTCTAAAGTGGGTGGAGCAAAGGATAGATAAATGAATTTATATTGACCCAGAAACGTATGCTGACAATACATGTATAGTTTATAGGATACTTAAGGCATATTATTGCTTGTTACCAAGCGAAGAAGTAAATCAGTATATCGCTATCCCCCGATTGTGGATAAACAACTTGCAACATTTTCGATAAATTAAGCACATAGCGCATATGTGAAATAATGTTCCTTTAGAACACCAATGAACAAATGTTGATTTATGATATCTTCCATATCTCATAAGATTTTCAACATTCATTGAATCCATGCAGCATTTATTCATTCCATTGCCATCATATAATTTTTATGTTTCCTTTAGATACGCTGTGAATTATTTTGTTTGGGCTCTTGTTACTAGATTGTGAATAAAAATTGACAGCAGAAGAGAGGTCATCGTTTAGGACGGAAAATATACGTTTGATAAAAACTTATTCATCTTTATAACCAAAAAAAAAAAAAAAAAAAAAATATTTATTTAAAGAAAAACCATATTGATGTTAGAGCGAGACTAAGAAATCGATCATCATTCTTCTTAAACAATTAGTTATGGTAAAAATTATATTGTTGGAAGAGTTAGAAAGCTTGAAAATATTCTTAAATCGGTTGCGATCCCTTTCCTTTCCTGAATAAAATTTAGATTTCCATCTTGCATTGGCCAAATTCGCTTAGCCAGCAAAAAATCCGAAGTGGATGGATGGTCTTTGGTGATAGATTGTCTACTTGAAATTTATGGCCATTAGCAAGAATCGTCAAACCCGTTACGCGTGAAAAAGATCATTTGGATACGCTAGCTAAATTTCTTCGGGAAATTGAACATAATTTTAACGAATCTCGCCCTGCGACCAATGAAGACATTATTTACGAGCAACACTTTAAAAAAACAACAATGCGTTTTGATTCGGGCGCTTACTCCTTAAGCCTGCCAACAGTAAAAGAAAGCGATGTGCTTACAAATTTTTATTAGCTTGCTCTTCAGCGATTTAAAGCTTTCGCAAAGAGACTAAATAGATTGTGATTTCACCTGGTGTGAACTATATGCGTCTATTTCTAAAAAAATCCCTTCTCTGGTTGTTGTTATTTAAAAAGGTATAGTTAATGAACCGATACGGATTATTTAAATACTATGCGTTTGCGAAAATTTACATCAAAGTAATTGACAGCAGTATACTTTCTACTGCAGGTATGTTTACTTGTCAGGTCAAGGCAAGTAGATAGAATGCGTCAAGGAGGCTCTCATTATCTACGTTACCTTCCTCTAGGGGGAAAATAAGAGAATCCTACAACAGGTGCATCCAACTCGTTTCTTACATGGTAGATGAGTTCCTCAGATATCCGTACAAAAGCATACATGCGACGGTATATGGTAAACTCAGTGATATGTTACACAAGTTTAAGAAATCGTGTAAAACGCAAAATCTGCAAATATTTTCTCAGAAAACCGTGCACAAAAGTAATAACCAAATATGTATTACAAACTTGTCAGGCAAAACCAATTCCTTTTCATTGCAAACAAAATATTATAATTAGTTTATAACGAATATTCAGGCCATAAGTACATACAGCAACATACAAAAATTCACATTGGAAGTAAGAGTAAGAATCAATTACCCAACTACTCATCACTACTTGATAGCAGGCGTACACGTTAATTACGGACTGAACCAAAACTGCTGGCATCAGGGGATATGTGAAATTCGTAGCATAACTGTCGGGTTTGAGAACAATTTCGTTTATTATTAACGGCCTCTGTTGGTTTTTTGTTGTTATAAAGTGTGTTATTAGCATTTGCTTTTTTGGCTTCTCAAGTTGTTTATATGACTCTTGATATCCAAGTACACAAAACTTAAGTTTATGTTGAAATTTTAATGCAAGCTCCATGTCATGATCATGAGTGAGAAAATGTTGTTTCACATTTGCAACAGATTTTAAGTCCTTGCGTATTAAATCAGCCTTTAATAGGTGAACTTCATCTTCGACTGTTGCCGTATATATAAGTTTGTGTGCGACGTTGTCAAAATTAGAATTAAAAAAAATTTATTTTTTCTGGTTTCGTGCCAGAACAGAAAATTCGTGTACAAAAAGTGTATTTGCTGTCATTGGTGAAACGCATTATTTTGAAATAGTGACCGTATAAAAATGAGTTGTGCGTAGTTACGAAGAGAATAAAATGGATTCAAGATATTGCATTTGCAATGAGTAGTAGGACAAGTTGCGAAGTGAAGTTGTTATTGGAGAGTAACTCACATCTAAGCACCTTGCAATTAAACAGGAATTCGGCATTCACCTTGCGACCACTGAGGAACACATCAAACATCTTCAATTTGAAATGTTTTGTTTAAACTATGCCAGAGCTTTCCTGCTAAAAAGAAAAAAGAGGAAGACGCGTATTTCTTTAACTTGATCTATTCCAATGTTTCTGCCAAATTTGAAGTCGATAGCTACATTTACAGACGGGCAAGCGGATGGACGGAGAACTAAAGAGACGAACTCAGAATTTAATGCTACTCATATCGTAGCAAAAGCGATAAATTACATTTAAGTAACAAATAAACGTCAAACTGATTTTGTGACTTGTTGCGACTTTTTGGTATTCTTAGATCTGATCACAAAATGTGGGGGGAATCGTAGCAATAACATACAGAATTTATGACCATCCATTGAGGAGATTGTAGAGACGTCTCCATATTACAACGTAGTGTTTCGCCCAGTAGTGGTATACTTGGAATATTTTTATGCAGAAAGTAAATAAGAGTACAATACGTACACTTATATATAGGAGCGTAAAAAACCTCAAAATCTTTTGAGGGACAAGAGAGACAAAATTGCAACTTGAAGATTCATCATCATTAAGTCATTTTTTAAATAACTCAAGACATTGCTACGGATTACAAAATTGCGAGCGGTATGATACTTCTTCGTTTTTTACTGTTCGGATATAAACTGTTTATCCGTTCTATGGGGTCTTTAGGGTACATTCATGTTGCGAAATCGTTTGCGGTATAAAATTTTGAATCGATCCAGCTGTGCCTGTTCGTCTGTCTCTTTCTGTAGAACTGTAGAATACTTTTGTAGAGTTTATAAGATAATCTATTCGGTTTGAGCAAAAAATTCATATTGGAGGTATTTTGCGCTGTGACTATTGTTCCAGTATACCGAGTCTGATACAACGTGCGAAAAAGGATGACAAGGCAACGTAGCCTCAAGCTCTTAATAAAATGCGCCACAATATTATTCTTACTTCGTAGTCGTCGGCTTTTGCCGGCTTACTCTTGTTTATTTTAATATGAGTTTTTTCGTCTTTTGAGTGATATGTCCAAGTACTTAGGCTGGATTTAAGCTGATTTAAATTGGACGTAAAGATTACAAGTGTGCATAGTAGGTATCCTCATGATTTTTAGCTATGCTTGCATTTCAGATTCGGAAAGCATTTATACCTATCTACCTATATTATATATATTATATACGGTTTTAATTAAAGCATTTACTACTTCCGAGGATTGTAGGTTTTTTCATTTCCATCTTGTCCGCTTGTTTAAACAAAAGGGATTACAAGATTCCCTGCGTTTCGCCCTCGTTTAAAAGGCTTTTGTGACATATGTCAGAGAAAAAAACATACGAAATGACCTTTGCATTCACCTTTCAAATGTGAAAGTTAGTCTCTGTGTGTGTATATATGTGTATGTGTATGTATGTGCATGATTCCTTTTTAAATAAATTGCAAGGATTTTTAGTTGTGCACGTAAGAGTATTGAAGAAATTTCAAAGTATCCTCTCTTCCTTTTTCTATTCTTCAGCTGTGGCTGCACATAACATTTTTGTTTTCTCTTTTTTATACTTATATATATATGTATATATATATATATATATTATATGTATATATATGTTATTTTTTTTCTTTACACTAGGTTCGCGCAATTTCCTTTGACATCAAGTGAAACTGAAAACCGAAGAAAACTCACACTTAATAAAATAATAAATTAAACTGACTTCTTTTGTTTTTATGGCAAAAGAGAAGCGAAGTAAAACTAACTAACTAACGAAAAATAAGACAAGAGCGTAACCCCCAAGTATCATTGTTGCGAAACGAAAAGGGCTTAAGTGGATAACCGTTTTTAGCTGTGCATGAGGCAAACTGACTTTAAGTCGTATATGCGAATAAGTTGCCGTGTTGCAAAGCGGACAACACAAGGTGAGTAACAACTAGCACTTGTATAAACTAAATGTTTGTTTTTACTTCCTATTCAGTTCATTAGTTTTATATCACGTTATGTAATTATTGTCTTATGTCTTGATATTGGCCATTAATGTTTACTCTTCATTTTAAATTTCTTCCTACTTTACCTTATTTATATCGACGTTTTCATCGAAATTGTAATAATAATAAAGAAATATATTTTTTATCTCACCTATCTATCACTTTATGATATTCCACCGATAACATTATGAACATAAGATTTATTTTAGATTTGATTCACTTATTGGCAAATTAAGAATATTTTGAGAAAAAAGATTTAAATCAAATTAAACTAAATTTTCGCTAATTATTTAGTTAAGATCGTAATAAATTTATTTATTGTCATTTATTCAGCGGAAAAGAAAAGCAGACCGAACGTTGTTGCTTAAAATGCGTTTATTGATAATCAATAAATCTACAATGATGTAATAATATTCAATATGTTGAAGTGATTGTGTTTTGAATAATTAATGGAGCAATAAACGATACAAACTCAAAAAGTTCGCTTTCTTAAGCACTCCAGGCATTTACTGAAGCTAATGGAAAAATCTGACTACGGTTGGTAGAATTGTTCATATCAATAGTGGTAAACAAAACGGAGATTTAATTTCCTTATATTAAAGCTGAACTTCCCGTTGTACTCAGCAGCTTCTCGACATATATGCCATACATACGTTGAATTGATGTAAATGTTTGTTTGCGTTGATGAGACGGTCTGCCGTCCATGTAGACATTAGCGTATACAATAAGACTGATGGAAGCAGTAGGTAGTAATAATACTAGCAAACAGGGAGACTGGCGTACAAAGACATCTGATGAAAAAAATATTTGCAGCATCAACATCCCACAAATTTCTGTTTTCGAAAGGAAACATTATTTAATGATTAGAAAGCAATTTACGTACTCGCGAAGCGAAGAAAAAATTCATGTATGTGACAGTTACGAGTAACAGTTTAACGTGGGTTACATTACTGTTCGCGTGAGGTGGTTCAGGTTGTGTTCGCTACTTGTGGAGAGTTTAATTTTATTCGATTTTTATACATTGAAAGAAAGGTGAAGTAAATCCAATCATTTTACATTTCCTTGTTTACAGAATTAAAGTAAATGATAAAAAGTATCATGAATTTGCCTTGAACTCAACATTTATGTCCAGTACTTCTCAAAAGTCTGACTTACAAGAAAGTATTCAATATTTTATGACGTATTATAAATTCGATCCTTTATGCCTAAATTACATACATACACTCTCTTGTATATGAATACATACATATACCTTGACCGTTTAGAAAGCATTCAAAATTATGCGATCTGAGATGGGACCCTACTTAACGTTTCGTATGTTACCTCAATAGGTTGCGATTTATTGATCTTTGGTTTAGGGTTAAACGATGGATACCGGCATTGTGCATTTTTACTCCGGATTAATTGCAATGTTTTTTGAACATTTTAAAGGCAGCATGTTGTATAATTAGCCGTCAACTTATTAGCTAATATCTATTTACTCTTATATATGTTATATGCTCTCAATCTATTTCCTTATTGGTTAATATGCATTTGAATGCATTTTATTTCTTAAATTTTTTAATGGCAGCAAACGGCTATTGTGTAACGTTAGCTGTTAAAATAATTTTTGTACCTAATTATGGTTAATTAATTGAATAAAAATAAACGCAATGAATAAACAAGTAAAAAATTTATATGCGATTGCGATCGAACCCTTTATACCGATCACTGTTATCCTGTCAAACATTGAACGAAAGGAAATATGTTAATTTGAATACTCTATAATATAGGATGGGCGTGGCTATATTTTTTCAATTTTTGTGGAAATTTATATTGCGTATCTGCTGTACTTTATGAGCAACGTGTTCTCTCTTTTCATTGTATAGACATGTGTACCCTGTAGGCGGGTTCTTTGACTTGTTCCCATCATCTTCAAACTCTTTTGTAAATTTGCAGACGATATCTTCTTGTTAGGCAGACGGACATGCTTAGCTGTATTCTGAATCTATAACTGAGCCAAACTTTATATACTTAACGGAGTTTTTGAACTTAAGCATTAATATTGGGTAGGCCTGGGAAATTTTCCAATTTGCTTCCTAAGCTTCCTTCTGGATGTTGCAAATGTTTTGACAAAATGAATATACTTACTCTTCATCTTTCGGTGATGGACAATAGTGGCCATTTTTTATGCCAAAGTATTTTCTTTACGGATAAATCAACATATATATATACATATATATATATAACAAGTTATTGACGGGAGCCTTTACTTCTCCTCTTTAACTTGGAAAAATCTCGTTGATGATAGTCATTTGCTGATGACTAAATCCAGGTCTCTCGTCGCACTGTGCTTTGACGGTTGCAGTAAAAAAGCTTCAGTCGTCAACACCTCAGTGGTCGACACGTCTGCATCTACAAACGGAACGACAAAATTGCTATCTTTAAAAAATAAAATTCTTTTAATATTCTATATATAAAATGATGGATAACGAAAATGGGTTTTGTATAGTTTCTTGGTTGCAGTTCTAACCACTTCATGGTCAAACGGTAAAGTAGTGACATTTTAAACGGGGTCTTAAATCGAATATATATGATATTGATGTATTGGAGTCGCTTAGTTATACAATGATAACATTAAATAAAGTATGTAAAAGGTATAATCCACGTCTTAAATCAAACAAATTAATAAAATGGTATATAAACTTGCGTATATTGAATAAAGTGATTTCTGTAGCTTAACAGTTCTCTGCCTTTACAGTCTTTTAGCACTACAGTCTACTTCGGACACTAGTTAAATATAAATAAAGGTGCAAAGCATTTAACGAAGCTAAGAACATCTAAATAAATTAACGGCGTATCCCGCTAGATCTGATATGGAAAGCTAGAGGGCCTTTTTTTACACGGATAAGAAACAAGAACCCTATTAGGGAAGAGTACAACTGTGCATATTGACTGCTTCCGTATCAGTATCATTCTATATCTCAAAATCAGACAAATTGAACTGACTAAGGTTTCACCGAAATGATCGAATAACCAGATAAAATGCCAGAATGTGCACCTGTGCTTTCGTGGCCATGTAGCCCTTTATAATATATGTTGTGCATAAGACGACCTAGAATGGTGAAGCCTTTTGCTCCGTGTCCTTCTGATTGTTGTCGATGCAACGTTCAAAATCATTTTTGGGATCACAAAGGATCTTTGGAGGAATACCTTTTTGCCACCACTTCCGGTTGCTTAACTTTAATGTTACAATCTTTTTTTTATTCGAGGTAAAACGTCACTTGATAGAATCATTTGTACTTTTTTAGTGTACAGCCCGTAGCTTAAATATTCAAATATTACAAACATACCGGTGCGAGAAGTATATTGTGGCGCTTTTCGCGATCGATCACTAGTCATAAGCGGAAATAATGTGTATTCCTCGCTGCAATTGTTCCGATTTTTGCAGCAAGATTGGTATTCCGGACGAACAGCCGAAAGAAAGCGCTCCAATTTCAGTTTTACTGTTATATAGAAGATATTTGTTAAATCAGAATACAGCTATAATAATCGCCGTCTAGTCCACATCCCCCAGGTCCCACGATGACCTTGAAAACAACTCTTGTTCTAAATGCATCCAATGAAGTCAGAAGATTAAGTTTGCTATTTAGAGATCAACTTATTCTCATTGCTTAAGTTATCTCAATAAATCCTGTCAGTTTGTACAGTACTTATGCTACTTATTTTTCTAAATATCCAACTCGTTGGTCCCCCATTAGGTAACAGCAACTTCTGTTATTTATTATATCTTGCCATAATATTTACTTATTGTCTTTATTGCATACATATTGTATTTTGTACATATTATACATTGTATATATGTACATATATATTGTATTTGCCTATTGTCCCGTTAATATATAACTAACACTAATACCTATGTGCGTTTGATTGGCAAATTTTTTTCGTTTCTGCAGGGCTTACGAAGCACACATTATTAGTCATTGCATTCTGCAGTTAAGCTATGTTTAAAAGAAATTTACAATTTCGAATTTTATCAAATATGTTGTGAGAAGAGTTTATGCATTCAAAGCGCACTTAGTTATTGATCATTTTTGCAAATCTAAAATTATACAAAATCTTTTTCTTTTTCAACTATGCGTGACTACCGTATGGTCTAGTGGTAAGGATGTTCGTCTCCCAGGCGGAAAACCCGGGTTCGATTCCTGGTACGGTAGTCGCACGTGTCGCTTTGTGCTTTACTGCATCACATATGTAGTAAAGTACAATTTGTGGTAAGTGCGTTGGAAGCTCGTTCGAGCTTCCACGTACTTTTTATATACATATTTTTTTCATTTTGGAGATCACTTTTTTTAAAGAAAAGTTATAACGTGACTTTGACAACTTCGTATTAGACCGTCTGATGTGCGCGTGTGTGTTTGCCTCTTGTCTCTCTTGTCTTTTTGTGTTATTGTTATTATGGTACATTTCGCAAGTTCTAAGACTAAACTCTTAAAGCACTAGCATCCAAGGCTATCGGCTTTTATTAAAAACTCTACCGCACTTGAGATTCGAACCCACGACCAGTTAAGTTATTAGTCGAGATTCCTCGCCGTTGGTCACTTAGGCGGATTTCATTTGTGTTATGGCAATATTACCTGAAAGTTTTAACTTTGTTTAAAAGAAGAATGGAATTAAATATTTTTCGTTCAGTACAATGTGAAAATCAGTAGGAGTCGTCCTTAAATTGGTGTAAAAAAGGTGCAGACATCCCACTTCCTGGACTATAACAGTAAAGTGCTGCTATAAAATACTAGTACTACCAGAGTAAGTGAGAGAGAAAGCAAAATTACCATAAGCCATTGACGATAATATAATCATAAGTTAACTATTACGACTTTCCATTAAACTTTGGCCATTTTTTCACTTGAAAAAGGTGTTTATTTATTGAGAAGATTTGGTACAACATATATGTTAATCACGATATATTCCATCATTTTCTACAATATTTTACTATATATCTGGCAACATGGCGATATCGTGTCGAAAGAATTTATATTGAATAGCGATTCAATCATTCATCCATTTTCGCACCTTTTTAACTTTGCGGAGCTGCTTGCCAGCCATGCCGTAATGCATCGACCTGAGTGAATGATATTCAGCAGGCGCCATGTCTGGTGAGCGCGCTGGGTGTGCCAGAACTTTGTATTCGAACTTTAATAGTGTGCCCTTGACACCTCTGACAACAAATGGGTAAAATAGTATTTTCAACTAGATTTTAGCCGCTATTGTTGCTCTGTTTTGCAACAATACATCGTTCAACGATGTTAAACCTGTAAAGGTAGCCATTTGGCCTCCTTTCGGATCTTTGCCATCACATGTAAACGTCTAGATTTAATTAAATGATCAGCTGCTAAGGTGTTCGAAAGTTCTTTGGGAGTTTGAGCTCAGTTTTCGTCCAATAAGTTTTGTTTCTTTGATCGTCCAGGCCGTTGTTTGTCACTGACATCAAAATCATTACTTTTAAACCATTGAAACGAAAAAGAACAGTTGAGGTACGATGGAGTAGCATCACCACAAGCTTCTGCACGTATTTGGTGGGCCTCGGCAGTAGATTTCTTCAAATTAAACAACAAAAATAATGATTGGCGAAAATGCAATTTTAAGCGATCCGCGATTAGCGTCAGCATACGCTGATTAGATCAATGATAATAAATGGAAAACTGCTTTGTACCCGTTATGCATACTAGTATCTCGTTTTACTTGATCATTGGTACCTGTAGAGCTCACGGGCCAAAATTAACGGACATGGTACGCAATGTACGCAGTACATTTAATAAATGCAAATATTTTATCGGATAAAATGTAAAGAGAATTTTAGGCGATAGCACCGATTGTGCTGTGTCTTAAAATATGCTCAGATCATTGGAATTATATTAGAAAGATAAAAATTTGGAAAATTCTGATGCGCAGGGTTCTTATAATCGTCGTAAGCCTCGTAAGAATACGAAACTGTTCAAAAGCAAGGAAAATTTTTAGACAGAAGCGACAAATGCAGCTGACTTTGTAAATAAATATACATTTTTCACGAACTCTTGCCAGATAAATGTTTAATGTGTTTAGTTAAGGCTAGTTAAACCTCAATAGCAAAAAATGATTTTGCAATTAACGTTTTTATCTAAAACAATTTAACGTTTCAAACTATCCGAACCTTACGAATTATTTTCATGATATAAATAAAAAAAATAAAAATAAAAAATAAAAAAGAAAAAATTGCATACACACGCTATTTCGCCTATACACAAAATAAAAGGATGTTGCTATATAGTATAATATTTTGCTTTATTTTACATAACATTGGAGTATGTAAATATAGTAAATAAATTAACAATTAAAACAAGCGTATCAGGCAAGTAGAGCAAGCTAGGATAGTAAATCGCATAAATCGCAGGCACCGGCATTGCATTCCGTTTGATTTATTGAAAGCATTTTACCATACGCGTGCACATGCACGCTATTCTCCAATTCAACTGAAAACGAGTTCTTGAAGGGAAAATATTAGTATTCTTTTGTTCTGATTGTGTATAGGCGTATATGCGTATTATCATGTATGTATGATAATTGTTGTTAATGGGATGGTTGGTTTAAAATAATTTTGTCTGTGCATAATTTTCATATATTATACACTTTATTGTATTATCGTTATTCACATGCATATGCGTTCGTATACCCCATGTATTGACCGCATGTAATGAAGGAAATAAAGCCGTGTACATGCATATATATGCATTCTTGTAATGTAAGCGCAAAGCCACACATAAGCAAACAAAAATATAGACATCTATATAAATATATGCATATATATATATATGTGATTATTATTATAAACGTTGGAAGCACGAGCGTTGACGTCGTAATCCTTGATGAATTTTCGACGTCCAACACCTAACGCAAGCACATGAACATTGCAAGCTTTTCTTCATTATTGAATTGAATGAAACATTTTGCATCTCTTGTGTGCGTGTGTGTGTGTGTGTGTGTGTGTGTACGTGGGTGTGTATGGAGACAAACAATTGAAAATTTCAGTTTATATCTGGCTTGGTTTTCTAAAGATCTTCTCAAAATTAATTGTGACTGAAGAACACAATTATTAAGTTCCACCTTCTTATGTAACTATTTCATAACTTTGATGCTTCAAACGGCTGTTGGACGTTACGGTTCGACTGGTTGAATACATATCCATTTTGATCAATTTTTGGGATGATTTCATAAGACCGTTTCATATTTTCTGGACGCTTTTAACGTTATCCTAAAAGGAAAAAAAGAAAAAGTAAAACCGCTCCTGAATTTCATTTAATTATATATATCCATCACAGTCACAACTTAAGCGAGAATTCTATTGAGGTCGTCACAAGATTACTCTAAATGGGGGCAGTATTTGAAAAAGAAACAAGCAACAAAATTACATCCGATCGTGATCCGATCAGATCTTTTATGCCCATCGTCGTTATCTTAAAAAAGACAAAAAGAGTAAAAGAAGTGAAATAAAAATTTTAAGTGGGCGCGGTTGATTTTTTCACTTTTCAAAGGAAAAGTTTTTGCCGCATAGGCGTTTACAACGGACATTACACAGTTGGACAGACGGACATGCTTAAAACGATTCAGAATTTCATGCTAATCAAGAATATATATATATATACTTTGTGGAATGCCATAAGCAAAGTATTCACGTATCTCACATTGCTTTTAATGGAATAAAAATTCTGGCATTATTCATTGAAGTATAGGGCCTTACGTGAAATAGGGAGAGAGAAGAAAATGAAGGATTTCGGATTAGTAATGAAATAAAAAGCTAACATGTACTAATTGTGCGGTTATGTTCAGGGTGTTTTCACAGTTTTCATTAGATGATTTCACTTGAAAACACAAGCGTTTATATTGCATTCAACAGGAGTAAGTGATTAATTTTAACAGTTATTTGTTTACATATAAACACATTTGCTTACGTGTAAATATATGTAGAACGACATACAAACACAAAACACAATGCATGGAAATGCAATCGAGTAAAATGAGACAAGGAAAACACAACAAAAAAAAAAAAAAAACAATTAAAATATATAAACAGAAATCAGAATGTTGTTCGTCGCCCGTGAAAGTATTACATTCGCCATTACGTACTCTACGTCACTTTATCTAATATAATTAAAAACTTGAAAAAGTTGTTTACATATAAAGGCGCATTTTTTATGTTCCTATAGTGGCTCATCAAATATCTTATGACTCGGCACATATTTCCGTGGCAAAGTATCAAGTGCCAAGTAGACTTGATTGCCATAGAAGAACTTACTATTGATAAAAATCGCTGTATGGAGTGGAGTGCAAAAATTTTAATAGGACTTGTGCTTGGACCAAAACACGTCCATGTACGAAATTTCGTTGAAATTTCGACAAAAATTGCAATCTTTGAGTGGAACATAAGATTGCAAAAATAAACATCAGACGAACAGACAGACAAACAAAATATTATTGTTTTTCTAAGTTCTACATCCATCCACACAAATGAAATATGCCATACTCGACTCGGGTGTGTGGGATGTAATAAATTCCATAACAGTTGCGATTTGAAAGAAAGAATTAAACTCACTCGTTATACTTTCCTTAGCTTAATTTACCATTGCCTTTACCTTAGGTTAATATTATCTTATGATTTATTTTCTGCTTTCTTTTGTTTTTGGTTTTGTTTTTTTATTAGCCTAAATGATCCCTTAATATGCTCGAATGACATGAAAGGATCGGTTACTTTGTACATTGTTGTAAAGCCATATTACAAGGTTCTGTACCACTTAGCTTATCAATTACAAAGCGCACTTGATAATGAAAAGAAATTTTTCACACACAATCCTTGGATGGCCACAGAAATTGAACATTAGCCATTAAGGCAATCGTACGGTGCACCACATATCGTAATTTAAACGTGAAACATTTCCTTAGGCAGTAATTGAAACTATAAACTAATTTTCAAGGAGTACATGAAAAAAAAAATTAAAAATACTTTTTTGTTGCAAAATTATGACCTGTATTAACCTTGTCTTACTTACTTAGGAATTGCCGTGATCGCAAAAGTAGTTCCCCCGAAGTGAATCTTGCGGTTGAATTGACCTCCGCGATTGGACCGAATCCGAAAGAATCATGCGAGTAATTTAAGCGGCACGACAAGTAAAAATCAATGTGAATTGGAAAACCTGCCACGCCTTTATTATGTTTTCAAAAATTCGAAAAAAAATTTCTTATCCCCTTTAGACTTGTACACATCCTCATATGTACAAACCCAAAAATAATTAAATTTTTTCATTTTTATATCCTACACTATGCGTGCTACAAGGTTATATTAGGTTTGTTCGGACGTATGTAGCACCCACATAAACTGGAGAGAGACCAACTTATTATTATATTTCGGTCAATTTAGAGTCACTTTCTGAATTGATTTTATCTTCTCATTCCGTCCGTTTCCGTCTTGTTTTCTTGTGTTCAACCTACAGGCAACAAATTTTTCCGTTATTTCAATGAAATTAGGTACGCTGGCGGGTTTTCGCTAACAAACAAACGCTCTTGAGAATGGTTCGAACTGGACCATCTTTTCGATCCCTTCCCATGCAATGTCTTATTTAGAAGCGTTGTTATGTTAACTGTTAGATTTAATAGTAGGTTGTGGCCCGCTATAGTATAGTAACATGTTTGCATATAAGTTTAGAATGCACACAAGATGATATTACCTTTCAACAACTTTAAAGACTTAAAACATTACCTTTCAAATTACTCTAATAGCAAACTCTTTGCAGTTCCTTTTTTACTAATTGAGATTTTGCCTACATACCTTGTTTCGTTCGTCTAAATTTATTTACTTTTATTTTTTTCTTTGCATTAAGAGGCTATGTTGGATATTATGTCTGTTTCGATGGCTACAATCGTATAATGTTTCATATCTATTTTGTATTATTGAGTTATTTTTCAAAAGGGGAAGAAAAAGTTTTCATTTAAATACTTTAAAATGAAATAAAAGTTCAATCAATGTATTTTACTTATTTAAAGCAAGTACAAGGAATGAAGATTTTCAAGAATTTCTACAACGGATTGAATTGAATACACTTTCTGTTTTATTCATCGGTTTAATGGACGCAAAAGGATACGCAATTTTAAACAAGTAAGAAAATTATATTCGGTCATGGCCGAATATTTGATACCCATGACCGTTTGCCTAAAAAGGACAAAAAAAAAAAAAGAAACACAAAAGAACTGAAAGAAAAATTTCCCTATTTTCAAAGTGAAAGTTTTTGTCGCATAGGCGTTTGGGTGTTGTAGGCGTGTCTTTTCAAAAGTTTGATTCACTTCATTTTCGCTAACGGGAGAATGTTTATCACACTACAATACTATGCAATTGGGCAAACGGGCAGATAGACGGACGAACAGACAGACATGTTTAGATGCATTCCAAATTTGAAACTGGCCAAGAATTTCAAGACCTTATTAGGTTTTTGAAGCTTGTTACTACCCGTCATAAAGGCGTAGTCAATTTTTGTTATTTTTGTGTAGGATAGCTTCATCTTTGCGACCAGGACAATGTTTACAACAAACAGTATCCAGACGGACAGACGAGCAGACAGATATGCCTAAATCGATTTAGAATTTGATACTGATCAAGAATATATATGTATGTACTGTGTGGGATATCCTAAGCTTCCTTCTGGGCATTGCGAACGTTTTGACAAAATGAATGTATCCCTCATACTTCGGTCATGGGTATAAACAAATGTGCGGGCATTATGTACGTTTGATTGATTTATAGAGCGATACTCATCGTCAAGATGCTTACTTATGTGTGTGCGTAAGTCGATAGCTTATAATTTATGAAAGAACACAACAAAGAAAAAAGCTTATGAACAAGTTTCATTTTTCAATATAAGCACAGGGAACAATCAATAAATAATATTTATTAAAATTAAATTATGCTTCAAAGCGACTTTCTTGAATTTAAGAAAGAAATCATAAAAGCAGAATAAGTTCTGATATTTTCATGAGATATAAATAATAAATATTCCTGGCAAGTACATGTTCTGTCTTTGTCGTCATCTTTTCCTACATTGTCATGCCTTGGTTAAGGCTCTAAAATAACAATAACAATGCAATTATACGAAATGGTTATCGTTTTGCAGACTATTGTTTCAAAATTTAGCCGCACGGCTTGCTAGGAGAAACACTGTAACGATCAAACAAATGCGATGACCACTTGAGTAAGGATGAGGGAAATCTAAAAATGGTATTAAGGAGAAATATGCGAGCTAAGAGAGATGGTGGTCATGTCAAAGAATGGTGTAAACTTGCGTGTACAGTGCACGCCACTTTTGCTCACAATAGTGTTTGATGGCAATATAGTCGAGTTTTTGCATAGATTGATAAGGGCCAAGGATGAAAAATGGTTCAGTCCCTCTCACAGCCGAACCATTGAGCTGACAAGGACAAGTTAACTTCAACTGCTATGGCAAGTTCTTCACATTAATGTCTTGAGAATATGAATTTCATGATTTTCATGGATTGACTTTTCAAAAACAGAAACAATCAATGGCGTTTATTATGCGACCTAAGGCCTTTTCGTTCCTTTGTTTTGGTTTGCATTTAAGCTTTCTTGATTGTCAGGCGGTTGTTATGAAGGAATGCAAATTAATAAAAGGAGTACTGTTGATGTAAAACAAAAAAAAAAAAAAAAAAAAAAAAAAAAAAAAAAAAAA